GCTGTGCCCCAGCTCGTGGAGCAGCTGTCCCCTCCCCACTAGTGCCACTGGGGCTTCGGACATGATGATGTCCTTCAGTCCCTGAGCTGCTCACTCGACCCCTGTCACTTGACCCCTGCCCAGGTCAGCAGACTGGGGAAACGGGTCAGTATTCCTGTGTTTGGAAGGATACAAGCACTCCCTTGCATTTTCAATGAGGAAAATAAGTTAAAACTTAGGGAAAAAAAAAAATCAGAATGAAAACATTCTGGCATTCTGTGATGTATTTTGGCATTTTCACAAAGGGCACGTTTCCTCGCAGCGATCCCTGCGCAGCCTGGCAGTGCCGCCTGTGCCCAGCAGCCACTGCCGCTTCTCTCATCACAGTGAACACAAGCCAAGAGGCAGAACATGAGAAGGCTCCAATTTCTCAGAAGCTCCTGACATCACCTTAGACCCAGGTTTAGTTCCTACTCCAGCCTCGGAACGATACGTGGCTGAGGTCTCTGCTCCTTGTCGGGCAGAACCGACCACACGGCGCTGCATCACATCTCACCTCGGGACGGAATACGCTTAGGAAAGGGCAGCTGGCAGAGGAAGCCATTTCAACAACTCCATTTCTGTGAAAATATTTGAGAAGTTATCTTCATCCCTCTGCAGAATGAAAAAAAAGATTTAAAAATCTCAGAGGCTTCCAGGAAATAGAATTCTCCACCCAAACTAATAACAGCAGAATTCATACGACTTCTCCTAGGGCCAATAGACAATTTCATCCGTGCTCCCAGAACATTTAGTTTGCTGATACACTACTGGTCAGAATAGTAGTAATAAATAAATAATTTAAAATCTCAAATTTAATTGTGCTGCAGTCCTTCACTATAATGAATCTTTCAGGAGAAATAACAATGGCCTTTTTATTTAAAAGAGGAATAGAAGGTTGTGGAGGGAGCTGTGCTGGCGGATGTAAATACACAAACTTGGCACGCAGGTGCCTTGGGTCGCAGTTGCCAGCAATAACCACGTTTTTTTGGATGAAACTCAGCTGCTTGCTCCAAAGAATGTCACGTATGCCCATTTCATTTCACATGTTCTGCACTTCCATCATTTGAAGGATACATCCCAGATCTAATCCCTTCCATATTACTCACATATAAGATTTAAATAGGTCTCACCACGCAAGATAGCAGAAAGGATTGAGACAAAATGCTTTTCAAACAGCAAATGACAACAGGAAAAGCTTTGAAATCACTGGAAGACAATAAACCTGACTGAGTTCTTGGTTCTTGTGGTGCTTAGTTTGCTACTTTTTATAGAAGAAAACCACTGCTAGGTCTTCCTGTGCTTAACTTAGTGGTGCAAAAAGTAAGGACAATTTTGTGTGTTTTCATTTTCTCAGTAGAAGCAGTATTTTTGGTCAAGACAGAGACAGGTCTGTGGCCATGCATCCGTGCAGGATGCCACACCTGACCAACATGGACAGCAAAGGATGACTGACAGCAGCGTCAGGCTCTCCACTGTCACAAATAAACTAAACCAGAACTAGCTTGGGGATGTCTTTTAAATCACACCAAGTTTAAGGTGCGAATAGGTTGCTATAAATCTGAGAGAAAGCCTTAAAAATATATTATATATCTTCAAATGTTGTGCCTAGACTTGTTATTATTTGTCCCTGTACTGCTAATAGGATGAACTTTTTTTTTTCCTGAGCACCTCAGGAGCCTATTCTCATTTCTCATGCTGTATTTCCACTTGACTCACTCATTGTGAAAAGAAATTTCACTGAAGGAATTCAGCTTTTCACGGAAGGCAGCCAAGGACGTCGCTTGCTGAGCAAAGCCTCCATCTCCACTCCACTGGTGCTCTTTATCTTCTCGCAGCAGACTCTCACATGCTTGCCTCCCTAATCCAGTCTGAAGAACATGGCCCGCGACCATTAAGCCTGGTTACCGCGGGATAATCGCCGCTATTGATTCCGACAAGACCATTTTCCTGCAAAATCTCCTGCTATCTCTCACTGTACAGTGGAGCCGGTCCCACGGCACACCCACTGCACGAGCACCGAAGCCGAGTTTTTGTCTGCGCCCAATTGTTGCTGCAGATCCTTATTTATAACACAAAAAGAATCAAGTGGGAGCCACCTCACGTCCAGACCGGCTTTGGGGAAAGTGGCACAAAACCTGACCTGCCTCTGTCTGCACACCGTGCTGACCGTGTTCAAACCCTGCCTTTGAAATGGTGATGCCATTTATGGCTAAGGGTTGTAGCAGAGGAGGATGATGATGGCTGGGAGACAGGGAGCCATTCGCCCTGCCTGCTCTGAGCCAGAACCCCGGGCAGCATCGCGTCAGTGCCACCTGGAGTTCCCACTCATGGGAAAAAACTGACTTCACCCCTCTTCTGCTGGAAGGGGAATAATAAAAGATGCGACCTTGCCTCTGGGGAGAGCAAAGCCCATGATCCAGCCACTGCACTGCCCGGTGCCTGCGTGCAGAACCAGTTCCGCAGAATCAGGAACTGCTCTGGAGTAGTTTTCTTTAGCACATCACCTATGAAGAAGCTTTTTAATAGTAACAACCAGTGGGAATTCCTTTTCTCTTTGCCCTTTGAAAAAAATATCCAGCTTTCTTATTCGTGTTGCTTGCTCATTCTACTTGTAAAAGAAGTGGAAAGGTAGAATCCCATCTTCTGAAAGTTAACAATTTCACATCAGAACAAATAGACTTCTGCAAAATAGATAACTCACTGGTAACTTCTGCATGAGGTATATTAAGATGCTGAGTGTAGTAACAGGTGAACTAGAAAACATACAACGCACATCAAGGTTCCTATTTAGAATAGCTGCAAATTTTGTCTGTGTGTTTTTAGATTAAATGATACCTTATTATGCATTTTTGATGAGTAAAACATTTGTTGGCCAGAGAATGGATGAGAACACATCATTCTGTAAATGGTAACTATAGCACTAAAAGTATTTTCAGTCATATTGGGTCTGTATTCCAGCCATGCAAGCGAAGTCTGTTTCCCCAGGAGGGGCCTTTGGGTCTGATGAGGAAGATGCTGAAGGTGCCAGAGAGATGAGGAAGGCTGAGCAGCTCAGTCCTGCCGGGGGACACTGCCCTCTGCACCCCAATTCCCTTGCGCAGAGGGATGAGAGCTGGTTCCTTCCAGTGACAGGAGTGTTTGCATTCTCCAGGACTGGGAGGCGATCGCATTGCACAGAGAAACAGTGCAGTAAATGCTGAATAATTGCACCCCCTGTTTCCTGCCCTTCTGCAATCCAATCAGTAGGGTGCTAAGCAAAACAAAATAAACTGACCCACTCTACAACCTCCGCAGGACTAGTCAGTCTAGACAACCAGACCACTGTGTGCACAGAGCTGCACAGGAATAAAATCATAACTGATTCCGTAACTGTGTCATCCTATGCTCCGCATATCCATCACCGTATGGTCATTACGCAGAAACACGCCTGATCCATACGCCTTTAAGGAAAGCTGTTTAAAATAAGGCTACAATCAATCCGGGCCAAAAGCTCAGCCCTCAGAGGGTGATGTCTTGCGGAAGGCAGTGTCTCAGCAGCACCACGAGAAGCAACCAAGCGGGATGAATGAGCTGCCCCGCCACACCGAGCCGCCGGCCCGTCCCTGCCCGTGAGCTTCAGCCCCAGCCCCGCCCGGGCAGCTCAGCAGCAGCGCACGGGGACTCAGCTCCACGGGGTTGGAGCCGGCAGAATCAGGTCAGGGCAGGAGGGAGGGAAGGCAGCGCCTAACGGGATTTCGTTGTCTGCGGAGCCCATCACCCGCCACCCCCCCTCACCCAGTCTGGTCTTGGTGGGTTTGAACGTCTCAGAGGAGAAAAGAACCACAGGGCAGCAGCATCCTGCTTAACAAACCATCCCACACGTACAAACACACCTAGGTATTGGCGTTTAGTTAAATTAATGGCAAAAAACACGCTTCCTTCTCCAATTCCCCGAGCCGGGCGAGGGTCAGTGAGCCAAGGCGGCTCTGCTCCACCCTGGGCATGAGCAGAAGGGTTTGCCGAGTGCCCGGGGCTGAGAGCTCTGCAGAGCGTAAAAAACAGCTCCTTTGCTTTTTATTAAATGTAACTGGAGAGTATTGAGCTCTACTCTCAGAGGTAAGCTGAATTCAGAGCGCTGGGAAAGAGAAGAAATCAAACAAACCAACCTCAAACCTGGACGTGTTGGGCAGAAATGGTTGAAACTACAGGTGGAAGCTCACCGTGACTCTTGAAAAGGGCGGCTCCATTAAAACCAACTGCATTTCCTGCGGATGCTAATCCACTCCCTCCCAGACAAACACTTTAAATGTGGCTTGCCACAGAGCTTAGCAAGGCTTCAGCTGCTCGCCCACTTTGAGCCATTTTTAGATTTCGAGGTTTGCTTTTCTTTTCGTCCCCTTTTGTTGATTTCATTGATGGAGCACCCGCGTGCAGATAACACACAAACACCCGGCACAGCCATGTCGAGGAAAAGTTGTCCTCAGGCACACACAGAAGAAGCCTCAACACTAGTCCCACACCCCAACTTTGCATCACCACACGGTTTTCTTTGACAAGTACAGAATGGGAATAAAGCCTTCACCCTGTTACAAGCAATATATTATAGGCAATATGTTATAAGAAATGTATTATAAACAATATATGATACACAATATGCTATAGGCAATATGCCATAGGCAATATGTTATAAGCAATATATTATAAGTGATATATTATAAGCAATATATTGTAAGTGATATACTATAAGTGATATATTATAAGCAAACGTATTTTGACATAAGAACTAGGGTCAAAGACCTTGCTCTAAAAAAGCAAGGAAAAAAGACAGATCTCACCCCCAGCACTAACACGTCCACCAACACTCAAGTTGCTATTAGTGCTGCTGCCGAGTACACTAGAAATCAATCAATAAATGTTTTTAAGCAACTATTCCAAGAGCAGGTGGAACATGGTTAGTGCAGGAGGGGAGCTGGCATGGCTGGAAAACATTTGCTCTGCATCTTTTCAGTATTTAAAAAAGCCCAAACACTTGGGCTGCGCCATAAATAGCATGAATCGGAATGAGGTTATTAATCTGTGAGAGCCGCAGACAACTGAGATTAATCAGCTTTTCTCTCATAAGCAATATCTGCAACTCCAGAATAAAAAAAAACCCCAAACATTTCCATAAAGCCTACACGCAGGCATTAACCTCTCTCCCACATCTTAAAAGTTGCATCTTCCTCACCAAATTTTAACATCGCATACACAGTGTATTTTCATTTAGCTATATGAACTGTCCAGAGGATGCTCTGACACTGCTGTTTTTCAGAGAACAAAATCTTTACTAATTTCACTGTGAAAAGCACCTGCAATAAGGCTTGTGGGTTGGTTTGGGTTTTCTTTTTTTGTTCATTAAGTGGTGAACTGGGTTGTCACAGATTTTAACAGTAAGCGTGTTTGGCCTTGGTTGGTTTTGTTAGATAAAGACAGAGAATTTACATTCATAATTGCACATAAATTACATATTTGCAGACCACTGTAAAAAATAATGACCCAGCTTTCTAATGGTACACGTACTCAGCTCAAATCGACTCCAGTGAAAGCGCTGGTTTTATATGCAGGGAAGAACTTGACTTAATTATTTCCGGTATTTTTAATATAAATTCTGTTTGTGTGTATCCGAGTGTGTTTATGGCTATCCCTGCATGGGAGGATGATGGAGGGCTGCCTTCGTGCACCACCACAGATGCCTGATTGCATATTTGTCTATAATGGACATTTCAGTGAAATGACCCGATAATTTAGCTGCCCAGACTTATTGCAATATCGCATGTTAATTGCTAGAGAGAGCTGAAAATAGATCTTAAAATAGGATGTAGGTGGTTGGCCCTGGGGGAAAAGAAGAATGCAAGATTTAGTCTGCAGTGCTGACTATATTGGAGGGAAAAAAAAAAAAAAGTAGATAAGCTAGAGAGCAGAGCAGGAGCAGATGGGGAATAAGAAAGCTGTGGTTGTACGGGGAGCTCCATTTCCACATCCATCTGATAAGTGTCGGCCGCTGGCCAAAGGGATGAGCCGCACCGGCCCCCGCGTGCAAGGGAAAGATCGGGGAATCCCCAGCACGGTGGCGGAGGTGGCCAGTGCAAAAAAACCCAACAGAAACGCGTTGAGAGAGCATCAGGAGGAGTGGAGAGTGAAAGTGGGGCGTTGGGGGAAATGTGTTATCCCCGAATCACTGGTCACGGCTCTGCGCCCACCGTGCTAGGGCAGGGCGGCAGTAAACACCCAAAATATTAACACTGCTAATATTTATAACAGCAATATTTCTGACTGAAAAGCATTCGTTCTCACTGAGAGCAACGTGTAAAAAAATCCAGTCCTTCCGCAACCTACTCGTAGCACTTGTGTACCTGCTTTCCCATCTCAGTTGACACCAGTTACACCATTGCCGCTACTGGTGCTGCTCCTCAGGACCCCACTTTGCTGAACCAGGGTGACAAAGACCCCACCAAGCTGGCACAAAAATCAGTGGAAGAGTTTATGCTCCAAGTATTTCTTCACTAATATTCCCTACAGTTCCTTAACTGTGTTCATATTTGTTGTCCAGAAATTTTCATTTCTTACAGTTCTTTCATCATGTGTCAACATATCTAAAATTCCTGTAATGTTTTTTTCTCCTTCTCAGGATAACCTTGTCAATCTTAATTATAGCTCAGGGTAGGCAAACCAAATTGAATGCGTCGCTCCAGATGAGATGCACCATTGTTCAATATGCTGCTGTAATATATTCCATACTTTTAATGCACCAAAGCATTTTAACCGCTGTTGCACACTGTGCAGACAGTCATTTGAGCTCTCAACCACATTTATTTATTTAGATTTCAACCTATAAAACATAAAATAATACATTTCCCAGACTCTAGGTGCCCTT